GAGAGAGAGAGAGGGAGAGAGAGAGAGAGAGACAGAGAGACAGAGACACAGACAGAGAGAGAGACACAGGGAGATAGAGAGACACAGAGACATAGAGACAGAGAGACAGAGAGGCAGACAAACAGAGAAACAGAGAGACAGAGAGACCGAGAGCGAGAGAGAGAGAGAGAGCGAGACAGAGAGACCGAGAGCGAGAGAGAGAGAGAGAGCGAGACAGAGAGACCGAGAGCGAGAGAGAGAGAGAGAGCGAGACAGAGAGACCGAGAGCGAGAGAGAGAGAGAGAGCGAGACAGAGAGACCGAGAGCGAGAGAGAGAGAGAGAGCGAGACAGAGAGACCGAGAGCGAGAGAGAGAGAGAGAGCGAGACAGAGAGACCGAGAGCGAGAGAGAGAGAGAGAGCGAGACAGAGAGACCGAGAGCGAGAGAGAGAGAGAGAGCGAGACAGAGAGACCGAGAGCGAGAGAGAGAGAGAGAGCGAGACAGAGAGACCGAGAGCGAGAGAGAGAGAGAGAGCGAGACAGAGAGACCGAGAGCGAGAGAGAGAGAGAGATAGAGAGAGAGAGACAGAGAGACAGAGACACAGAGAGACATAGAGACAGCGAGACAGAGAGGCAGACAAACAGAGAAACAGAGAGACAGATAGACAGAGAGACAGAGAGACAGAGAGACCGAGAGAGAGAGAGAGAGAGAGCGAGAGCGAGAGAGAGAGAGAGAGAGAGAAAGAGAGAGCGAGAGCGAGAGCGAGAGAGAGAGAGAGAGAGAGAAAGAGAGAGCGAGAGCGAGAGCGAGAGAGAGAGAGAGAGAGAGAAAGAGAGAGCGAGAGCGAGAGCGAGAGAGAGAGAGAGAGAGAGAAAGAGAGAGCGAGAGCGAGAGCGAGAGAGAGAGAGAGAGAGAGAAAGAGAGAGCGAGAGCGAGAGCGAGAGAGAGAGAGAGAGAGAGAAAGAGAGAGCGAGAGCGAGAGCGAGAGAGAGAGAGAGAGAGAGAAAGAGAGAGCGAGAGCGAGAGCGAGAGAGAGAGAGAGAGAGAGAAAGAGAGAGCGAGAGCGAGAGCGAGAGAGAGAGAGAGAGAGAGAAAGAGAGAGCGAGAGCGAGAGCGAGAGAGAGAGAGAGAGAGAGAAAGAGAGAGCGAGAGCGAGAGCGAGAGAGAGAGAGAGAGAGAGAAAGAGAGAGCGAGAGCGAGAGCGAGAGAGAGAGAGAGAGAGAGAAAGAGAGAGCGAGAGCGAGAGCGAGAGAGAGAGAGAGAGAGAGAAAGAGAGAGCGAGAGCGAGAGCGAGAGAGAGAGAGAGAGAGAGAAAGAGAGAGCGAGAGCGAGAGCGAGAGAGAGAGAGAGAGAGAGAAAGAGAGAGCGAGAGCGAGAGCGAGAGAGAGAGAGAGAGAGAGAAAGAGAGAGCGAGAGCGAGAGCGAGAGAGAGAGAGAGAGAGAGAAAGAGAGAGCGAGAGCGAGAGCGAGAGAGAGAGAGAGAGAGAGAAAGAGAGAGCGAGAGCGAGAGCGAGAGAGAGAGAGAGAGAGAGAAAGAGAGAGCGAGAGCGAGAGCGAGAGAGAGAGAGAGAGAGAGAAAGAGAGAGCGAGAGCGAGAGCGAGAGAGAGAGAGAGAGAGAGAAAGAGAGAGCGAGAGCGAGAGCGAGAGAGAGAGAGAGAGAGAGAAAGAGAGAGCGAGAGCGAGAGCGAGAGAGAGAGAGAGAGAGAGAAAGAGAGAGCGAGAGCGAGAGCGAGAGAGAGAGAGAGAGAGAGAAAGAGAGAGCGAGAGCGAGAGCGAGAGAGAGAGAGAGAGAGAGAAAGAGAGAGCGAGAGCGAGAGCGAGAGAGAGAGAGAGAGAGAGAAAGAGAGAGCGAGAGCGAGAGCGAGAGAGAGAGAGAGAGAGAGAAAGAGAGAGCGAGAGCGAGAGCGAGAGAGAGAGAGAGAGAGAGAAAGAGAGAGCGAGAGCGAGAGCGAGAGAGAGAGAGAGAGAGAGAAAGAGAGAGCGAGAGCGAGAGCGAGAGAGAGAGAGAGAGAGAGAAAGAGAGAGCGAGAGCGAGAGCGAGAGAGAGAGAGAGAGAGAGAAAGAGAGAGCGAGAGCGAGAGCGAGAGAGAGAGAGAGAGAGAGAAAGAGAGAGCGAGAGCGAGAGCGAGAGAGAGAGAGAGAGAGAGAAAGAGAGAGCGAGAGCGAGAGCGAGAGAGAGAGAGAGAGAGAGAAAGAGAGAGCGAGAGCGAGAGCGAGAGAGAGAGAGAGAGAGAGAAAGAGAGAGCGAGAGCGAGAGCGAGAGAGAGAGAGAGAGAGAGAAAGAGAGAGCGAGAGCGAGAGCGAGAGAGAGAGAGAGAGAGAGAAAGAGAGAGCGAGAGCGAGAGCGAGAGAGAGAGAGAGAGAGAGAAAGAGAGAGCGAGAGCGAGAGCGAGAGAGAGAGAGAGAGAGAGAAAGAGAGAGCGAGAGCGAGAGCGAGAGAGAGAGAGAGAGAGAGAAAGAGAGAGCGAGAGCGAGAGCGAGAGAGAGAGAGAGAGAGAGAAAGAGAGAGCGAGAGCGAGAGCGAGAGAGAGAGAGAGAGAGAGAAAGAGAGAGCGAGAGCGAGAGCGAGAGAGAGAGAGAGAGAGAGAAAGAGAGAGCGAGAGCGAGAGCGAGAGAGAGAGAGAGAGAGAGAAAGAGAGAGCGAGAGCGAGAGCGAGAGAGAGAGAGAGAGAGAGAAAGAGAGAGCGAGAGCGAGAGCGAGAGAGAGAGAGAGAGAGAGAAAGAGAGAGCGAGAGCGAGAGCGAGAGAGAGAGAGAGAGAGAGAAAGAGAGAGCGAGAGCGAGAGCGAGAGAGAGAGAGAGAGAGAGAAAGAGAGAGCGAGAGCGAGAGCGAGAGAGAGAGAGAGAGAGAGAAAGAGAGAGCGAGAGCGAGAGCGAGAGAGAGAGAGAGAGAGAGAAAGAGAGAGCGAGAGCGAGAGCGAGAGAGAGAGAGAGAGAGAGAAAGAGAGAGCGAGAGCGAGAGCGAGAGAGAGAGAGAGAGAGAGAAAGAGAGAGCGAGAGCGAGAGCGAGAGAGAGAGAGAGAGAGAGAAAGAGAGAGCGAGAGCGAGAGCGAGAGAGAGAGAGAGAGAGAGAAAGAGAGAGCGAGAGCGAGAGCGAGAGAGAGAGAGAGAGAGAGAAAGAGAGAGCGAGAGCGAGAGCGAGAGAGAGAGAGAGAGAGAGAAAGAGAGAGCGAGAGCGAGAGCGAGAGAGAGAGAGAGAGAGAGAAAGAGAGAGCGAGAGCGAGAGCGAGAGAGAGAGAGAGAGAGAGAAAGAGAGAGCGAGAGCGAGAGCGAGAGAGAGAGAGAGAGAGAGAAAGAGAGAGCGAGAGCGAGAGCGAGAGAGAGAGAGAGAGAGAGAAAGAGAGAGCGAGAGCGAGAGCGAGAGAGAGAGAGAGAGAGAGAAAGAGAGAGCGAGAGCGAGAGCGAGAGAGAGAGAGAGAGAGAGAAAGAGAGAGCGAGAGCGAGAGCGAGAGAGAGAGAGAGAGAGAGAAAGAGAGAGCGAGAGCGAGAGCGAGAGAGAGAGAGAGAGAGAGAAAGAGAGAGCGAGAGCGAGAGCGAGAGAGAGAGAGAGAGAGAGAAAGAGAGAGCGAGAGCGAGAGCGAGAGAGAGAGAGAGAGAGAGAAAGAGAGAGCGAGAGCGAGAGCGAGAGAGAGAGAGAGAGAGAGAAAGAGAGAGCGAGAGCGAGAGCGAGAGAGAGAGAGAGAGAGAGAAAGAGAGAGCGAGAGCGAGAGCGAGAGAGAGAGAGAGAGAGAGAAAGAGAGAGCGAGAGCGAGAGCGAGAGAGAGAGAGAGAGAGAGAAAGAGAGAGCGAGAGCGAGAGCGAGAGAGAGAGAGAGAGAGAGAAAGAGAGAGCGAGAGCGAGAGCGAGAGAGAGAGAGAGAGAGAGAAAGAGAGAGCGAGAGCGAGAGCGAGAGAGAGAGAGAGAGAGAGAAAGAGAGAGCGAGAGCGAGAGCGAGAGAGAGAGAGAGAGAGAGAAAGAGAGAGCGAGAGCGAGAGCGAGAGAGAGAGAGAGAGAGAGAAAGAGAGAGCGAGAGCGAGAGCGAGAGAGAGAGAGAGAGAGAGAAAGAGAGAGCGAGAGCGAGAGCGAGAGAGAGAGAGAGAGAGAGAAAGAGAGAGCGAGAGCGAGAGCGAGAGAGAGAGAGAGAGAGAGAAAGAGAGAGCGAGAGCGAGAGCGAGAGAGAGAGAGAGAGAGAGAAAGAGAGAGCGAGAGCGAGAGCGAGAGAGAGAGAGAGAGAGAGAAAGAGAGAGCGAGAGCGAGAGCGAGAGAGAGAGAGAGAGAGAGAAAGAGAGAGCGAGAGCGAGAGCGAGAGAGAGAGAGAGAGAGAGAAAGAGAGAGCGAGAGCGAGAGCGAGAGAGAGAGAGAGAGAGAGAAAGAGAGAGCGAGAGCGAGAGCGAGAGAGAGAGAGAGAGAGAGAAAGAGAGAGCGAGAGCGAGAGCGAGAGAGAGAGAGAGAGAGAGCGAGAGAGAGAGAGACAGAGACAGAGAATGAGATGATTCTTCTTCTGAGAGATGATTCTCAAATGATTCTTTTTCTCGCATCCAGTCTGTGACGATCTACAGGCCCGTGCGCGCATGCGCAAATAGTCTGAACAATACTGTAGGGAGTGGGAGTGAGACGGAGACTTCTCTTTCGCACAAAAGGTTCTCATTCACGGCGCCGGATTTAGGGGTTGGAGCTAGAAAATTGCGTTCAACTTAGAATCCATAGGAGATTCGCGGGTACGGTCAAGACAAAATTTGTGGAAAATTTTCTAATAAAAAATATGGAACAAAAAGAAATTCATCAATTCAATGTCAAGATATTAATAGCAACATATATTAGATTCGCTATGAATAAATAAACAAGCTATTGAAAAAAAACACTGATATTCCGAATTACAAAAAAAAAACTTCATTAACTTCAATTTTTTTAATGGAAAACATTTTTTTCCCATCTGAACTTCACGCGGCTCTGGGGGATGAACGTTTGGGAATAGGAGTAAAGTGCCCTAAACATTTTTTGTGTAGTATTTTGATCTCTACAACTTTGTGTTTCACGTTTTTGGACGCACAGCGCGTTACTCACTAGTTATTTCGAAAAAACTGTTTTCAGGGGTAGTTTTTTGGCTTTTTCAACCCCCGCACAAACTTGGGGAACCTTAAACATCCGCCATTAGTTTCATACGCCCAAATCACAAATTCCATAAAAAATGGAGCGTGTATCGCAAACATTCGTATGTTAGACCGACGTTCATTGGACTAGTCGGAGATCCGTTCGGGGTTTCTCCGCGCTTTTGAAAATTCATTCCACCGCTCCTACTTGAGATTAAGGAATGAAACCGTTGTCATTTATTGAGAATTTAATTCTCGATCGATCGGCATCGGCCACAATCCTTCATCTTAATTAGGGTGGGAGAAATGAATTTTCCAATCGGGGGAGTCCCTCCGAGCTCACTCGACGTCGGAGAGCCGTTCGGGGTTTCTCCGCGCTTTTGAAAATTTATTCCTCCGCTCCTAACGGAAATTAGGAAATGCAACTGATGTCATTTATTAAAAATACAATTGTCGATCAGCAGGCTTTGGTTTCATTTCTACATCTCAATTAGGGAGGGGAGAAATTTAATTTTGAATGAGAAAAACTTGTCCGGAGTTACTGCACGATTTTAAAATTTATTCCTCCTCTCCTAATCGAAATTAAGCAATGAAACCGCTGTTATTTATTTAGAACATAATTCTCCACCGATCGATATTGCTTTTATTCGTTCATCGTAATTAGGGGGGGAGAAATGACTTTTCCAATCGGGGGAGGCCCTCCGGAGAGCCGTTCGGGGTTACTCTGCGCTTTTGAAAATTCATTCCTCCGCTCCTACGTGAGATTAACTAATGCAACCGCTGTCATTCATTGAGAATTTAATTCTCGATTGATCGGTGTCAGTTTCATTCCTTTCTCTCAATTAGGGGGGGGGAGAAATGAATTTCCCTATCGGAGGAGCCCCTCCGGTTACTCCGCACTTTTGAAAATTCATTCCTCCGCTCCTACTTGAGTAGGATAGAGTAGAATTTCCCGAAGATTCTAAAAAGCTTCATTGTTCTTCGTGCATGAAAAATGGGGATCTTCGGGAGACTCCTTGCGATCGTAAGACTTTTACCGATTTATTTTTCTCCGTGTGACGTCTGTATAGAAGATCAAAAAATCAATTTAACTTTGGGATAAATGGAGAGGAGAGAAAAACGTGAATATCTCGGAAATTAGATGCGACAAATTGGGCCCTTTTCACGTGGACGTACACATATAATTGGACTGAAATTTATAGAATTTTTTAATTTGCAATGACGAAATTCCTTGAAATTTCCGTATTCTGCCAACACTTTAAAAATTCCCAATAAGTGTTCCCGGTATTTCCGCGAAAATATTACTGAAACCTACAGACATCATTCCTGAATTCAAGCCATTCCTTTGATTTTCAGGATCATGTCACTAGAAATTTTTTACAAAATGACTTAATTTTAACATTGCTTGCTCATTGCATTTCAGAAATGCAGCTCCCTAAAACAGACAGATCGATTCCTAGTAACAACGTTTTTTTTTCTCGGTAAATACAGACAATAGAGAAATGTCAGAGTAGAGTGAATAAACTTCACTCGTCAATAACTCCATAATGGCAGAGTGAAATTCCCTGATTTTTTTTCAATCTCGATTAATTTTTTAAAGATTCAAATTGATACTTGAGTATCAATTGATTCATTCACCTCGTTCCATTCCATCGGGAGATGTTGTCGATTGGAGACAATTTTTTATGGTCACTAAAGAAGGCAACCCATTCATTTAAATCTCTCAATAATCTGCGAAAAATCTCATTCGTTAATCTATTATTATTGATTTAATCCCACTATATGTAGATCGCTGGAGAACAACGAAAACGTTCCAACCGTTCAAATGAGTTGGAATGTTTTCTCTCTCCTTCTTCTCCATTTTCTTTCTCACTCGCACTCACTGGGCACGTGCCAATGCGACGGAGACGACAATGAGTGGGAGCAAGCGCGATACATATTCCTTTCTCACTCAGGGGGGGAATACCGACATTAGTATACCTGCCTGTTTTACCAACAAAGGTGTACCCGCATTTAGTTCATGCGCCACCACTACGAATAAATCTAGTCGAAACGTTTACATTGCCGTGAGAGATCTCTTATAATCTCTGTCTCTGGTTTCTAACGCACCAAACAAAGGCCTTGTATCTTTACGAGTTCACTACCCATCAATCAATTTGATAGGTTAAACACGGAGGTCATGTAGTTCTGATTAACGTAAGCTACTAATAAATATGACACCACTTGGAGGCACAGCTCAAGTAAGTCTTTAATAATAATCCCGCTCTTTTATACCAGTAATTTTTATATGGATGCATTTATTCCAAGCAAAACAACTCTCTGATAATTTCCGTTTTTCTTCAGATTTCAAAACAAAATGTCAATGTTAAAATCCCTCTCGTCAAGCAGAATGGTATAGCTAGTGAGTACTCGAAGCAATTAGAGTTAAAAGGGAAGGTGTATAAGCTCATGATACAGATCGATAAGATTAGAGCCAAGCCAGGACCCAAGTGCAAGAAGCCGGTGCTTTTGGCCTCCAGTAGGCGTGAAAAATTGGGAAAAATTAAGGAAATACTTGATGAACAGTCTGGAGATCGCCCCCAGGAAGATGTGGGGGTGAGAACTGATCCAGAACATGTCGGGGTCCAGTGGCAGTGCAGTGAGAGAAAATCGAACAATAAGAATCGGTGTCCATTGTGTCAGGAGCATGTGGACTCACTCCTAGCACTTTTTACCCATCATGAGACGAAGCATTTCGTTTGTCAGTTGTGTGATACACCTTTTGTTTCACAAGCAGCCTGTGATAGGCATGAGGCTCTACATCAGGGGACCGATGCGCTGCTTGTTTATAAATGTCATCTGTGCGAGCAGAGCTATGACTGTACGAAGAATTTGAAGGTTCACGTCAAGAAGAGCCATTGGGAGATTGTGGATGTGGGGTGGAAGGTTGGTTCTGAGGAGGTGAAAGTAATCATCGAGAGGCTGGTTTATGAGTGCAGAATCTGCAGGATTAGTGTGAAGGACGATGAGAATTACAGGTAATGATGTTTTTTGGCATATTCTGGCAAGGTAAAGCGGGAAAGAGATTGAAGCATTAATTTTAGACTGTATTTGTCGTATTTTGGTATTTTCTAAGTGCTCGGAAATAATATAGAATGTTGTGGAACGTGAAGAAATTAATTTTTTGTGTCACGTGACCTGAAAATTAATATACACACCTCGCCATGGAAAACATATCACCCTCCCCCACGTGCTTGCCATCCTCTGTTTTCCGAGGCTCGGGCATGTAATGTACTATTTTGACACTGCTGCTACATTCACCTCGTGCCTCGGGCCACTCGCTGAACGTAACTTATCACTGTCAAAATAGGCACTAGCGTTCGCTAGTTCTGTAAAATAGTATATTGCGCGTCGCGCCCGTCGCTAGATTAATTAATACTAGGTTATTTTTTTAAATTTTGTTTCCATTTCCGCTTTCACAATTAGATTAATTTATTTTTATTCATTCTTATTGTTATTATATATATTTTTGTTCCTTAATTTGCAAGTTATAACATTGAATGAAGAGGAATTCCCCATAAATCACGTGAGAATACAGATTGACAAACAATTTTCGATAATCATACCTAAAATTTTTCATTTCTTTCTTTATCTTTAAATGAATTAATACCAATGATCTGAAAATGTGAATGAATATGAACATTTTACACCCCTTAGATCTCATTTCAATGGAACGGAAAAAAGAAATTGCAAAGAGAGATCCATCATGATCACTCAGTATAAATAACATGAAAAAATCTATTTTTCTGTCTTTTCAAAATTTTTCAAATTGTTTTTTCTTAAAAAATAAAGGGAGATTACTATTTTTAATTTCTGTGATCGTATGCCGTTCACGGAAACGGGAAATAGGGAAAATGCAGGGAAGGAAAATCAGAAATAAATCTAAACAATCGTTTTTTCGATCTTGAAAGTTTCAAAACGTTTTTATTGTTCATAATAAAGAAAAACCAATCTATTTTCTTCCTATTATCTAAATGTGACAGAAGAAAGTGAAAAGCGGAAAACGACATCAACATGAAAACAGAATTTTTAATTTTTCAATGTCTAGGGAAAATTGTTAAATTGATATATTTTTTCGAATAATGAAGTAATACCCATAAATTCAATTCCTATCCTCACATTTTCATTGAATACATAAAAAAAGCAAATCGAGATACGCGGTAGCGTATCGGCCAAGAAAAGTTTTGACCGACTGAGCGCACCGCGTATCTATACACGACAGAATTTCCCCCTCCAATACCTCTAAATGATTTACATTCGGTATAATGAAAACGAGACGACAAATCGGGAAAGTGTCGTTAGTTACACGACAGAATTTCCCCCTCCAATACCTCTAAATGATTGACATTCGGTATAATGAAAACGAGACGACAAATCGGGAAAGTGTCGTTAGTTACATTATATAACTCGCCTATGACCTTTTCAACGGTGCAACTATGGTATTTTTTGGATTAACAGTAAAAAAGATACGCGCATAGCAACGGGTTGATCAAAGAGGATTGACTAAAGTAGAGGCTCAGATCTCGGGGTTGGACTGACCCCAAGCCAAAAGTAGTTCGACCCCAACGGAGGGATACCGCCACGGTCGAATCTGACGGCTGGGCGAACTGCCTGTGCGGGTAACTCGGCAGTAGCAGTCCCGCTGTCACAGGGATAGTTTCGAAGGGGAATCTATGTCCTCCTCGCCCTCAGCATGTTCTTAATGTTTTTCAGGTGATTCATTTGCTGGCTAATTAATATTAAGGAATGAAACACAGAGGGTATGACGGAGAATTAAATTCCCCATCAATCGATCCCCGTTGCATCCCTTAATCTCTGTAACAAAAAAATACAAACTACGACAAAGTCATGGGCCAGTGAGAAAAATAATTTTCTTCTCGGCGCACAGTGACTTTTCACCATACGCTCGCGAATTAAAAATTCACTTCTCCCCTCCTAATTGAGATTAAGGGATGAAAAAAGAGTAGTTCGATGGAGAATTAAATTCCCCACCAACTGACCCTCTTTCATCCCTTAATCTCTGTGAAAAATGGAAGAAACTGTCATGGAAATAACAGCGCAGTAAGAAAAATAATTGTTTTGCGGCGCACAGTGACTCCCGGTAATTAAAAATTCACTTCTCCCCTCCTAATTGAGA